ACTCAGTTGAGTTTACTCGTTTTTATAGGGGATTAAGGGGGTGTAACCACCCCTTAAATCACTCCTAAGTGGGGTGTAACCGCTCTCAAATCATGGGAAACAGTTTTGGAACTGTTCAAGGGTTTAAGGGGTACAATCCCCCCTAAAATCTCTCCATAATGGGGTGTAACCGACCCCATTAAGTGGAGATACGGTTTTAAAACCGTTCAGGTTCTGTTTGAACCAGTCGAACGCAGAAAACGCGGCTCTGATCCCTGCGTTTTGATGTTGCAACGCAGGGAGGGCCTCAGCGTTTTGATGTTGCAACGCGGGTCTGACCCCGCGTTTTGATGTTGTAACGTGAGTTCGACCCCTCCGTTTTGTTGCTGACACACGGGGAGGACCTCCGCGTTTTGGTGTAGCAACGCAGGGATGACCTATGCGTTTCGTTCTGGGAACACAACCACAAGCTATGCGCTTTGAATCTGGGACGCATATGTGAGCTCTGCGTCTGGATTTGAAAAGACCGTCAATTTGTAGTCTCTTTTACTAGAACGTTATAAAGACCGTCATCTTGTAATCTTTGTCTCGGCTCCTTTGAAATATGAGAGTCGTTATATTATAACTCCCAATGTTGATTGTGAAGGCTGTTGATTAGAGCTTCTATCAGTTATTGTGAAGGTTGTTAGATTGTAACCTTCAGTGATCTATGTGAAAGTCTTCAAACTGTAGCCTTCTGGAAGTCGTCAGATTGTAACTTCCATCATCAGTGTTTGATGAGTGATCAGCTATCTATTGTGATTTTTAGACAGCCTACAGTCTATATACATATATAGTCAATCAATCAAACGTACTATAATTATGATGACTATAGTCAAAATTATATGGCGGATTCACATTAAATATAATTTATAAAAAATAGTACATTAGAGTCAAAATCCTTTTAACCACTCCTTTTAACCACTGTATAGATTGTCTAAAAGTTTTTGCATATATAAATTACACTGCCTAGGAATAGTGATGTATTGTACACTTAACTATGACCTAATAATCTTAAGAACAACTTACTCTGCAATATCATCATTAATTAACGAATCTATGCATTGTATTGAAAACACAATGAAAATTTAGAAAACTACAACAGAAACACCCTAAAAATTTTAAAAATTGTAAATCAACCCCCTAAAAATTTGAAATTTATAAATACACAAAACTATTAAACATTACATTGAAATTAAGGAATTATAAAAAATCATTGAAAATTTTCAATGTTTGAGGGGTAATTTGCAATGTGCTAAACTTTAAGGGTGTTTTTTATAATTTTTAAATTTAATAGATTTTTAATCATTTATGTTCTTTTGAAAAAAGTTATTGGTAATATATTGACCATGAAAGGTTTTTCCTAAACCTATACTTTTAAAGTGAGTATGATATTTTTTGTAAAATTTTAATTTTTAGGGGTTGTTAGTAATTTTGTATATTCATTTTAGTGTCTATCGGTTAGAAATTTTTCATGGTGTTTTTTATAAATTATGAATTTTAGGGGCTTTTTGTAATTTTTTAAATTTATAGGTATTTTCTATATATTATAAATTATTTTTAGACTATTTATAATTCATATGCTTTCTATTTACTAATGAGTTTGAAATTCTCAGGGTGTTCTTTGTATATTTTGAATTTTAAGGTTTTGTTTGTAATTTTTAAAACTTCAAGGGTGTTTTCTATAAATTATAAATTATAAATTATATAGGGAATATTTATGATTCCTATATTTTCAATATACTTTTAGGTTAGAATTTATCAGGATTTTTATAAATTTTACAATTATGAGGGTTTTATTTTATAATTTGTAAAAAGTTCAGTGTTTATTGCAAATTTAGTAAATTTTTGGGGGTTGTTTGTGTTATTTGTAGATTTTTAGTGTGTTTATAGGTTTAAAAATTTTAAGGTATTTTTTATACATTTTAAATATTTAAGGGTGTTTTTATAATTTTCAAAATGGTTAAATACCCATATTGGTATTTTAATTCTACACCATTTATCAAGAAGGTATTTTAATTAATCAAACCTGCTTTAAGGTATTTTAATTGATTCAACCTACCAACAATGCCATTTTTATCGTCGGCGACCAGTTTTCCGGCGAAAGCTCGTCACGTGCGTGGCACGTGATGACTTAAACTGATTTTTAGCTGCTGATGTAGCACGGATCTATCCTATTTTGGGTGAATTAGGATTTTTAGAGGGTTAATTCCTGCCTTTAAACACTGCTACGTTAGAAAATCCGTGCCACATCAGCAGCTAAAAAATAGTTTAAGTCATCACGTGCCACGCACGTGACGAGCTCTCGCCGGAAAACTAGTCGTCGACGAGAAAAAGGACCTTGTTGGTAAGTTGAATCAATTAAAATGTCTTAAAGCAGCTTTGCCTAATTAAAATACATTCTTGGTAAATGGGGTAGAATTAAAATACCAATATGGGTATTTAGCCTTTTCAAAACTTACAATATATTTTCTTCAAAGTCAAAAAACTTTTAGTTTCTAGTTAGCATATGTTTTTCAGATTTCTCACTGAATTGAAATAAGTAAAATTTATAATTTTTAAGATATTTTAATAAAAATTTAAATTTGTAGGAGTGTTTTTACAATTTAAAAAACTTGGATGATATTATTTACAAAGTCTAAAAGTTTTTAGGTGCTGGCTAGCATATGTTTTTTATATTTCTCTGCGAACTAAAATAAGTAAATGATTTGAATTATATTAAACATATTTTCTTTATCCAATAACTTGTTAAGAATCATTATAAATATGATAAATCATTTAGTTACTAATTCAAAGAAGATAGGATAATTAGAATAAATTAGGATAACAATGTAATATTTAAAAAAGTTAAGAACAATATTAACCATAGAAAGATTTTCCTGAACTCGTATTTTTAAAAGGAATATGATATGATATTTAAAAAAGACACCATTTTGATTTGTATGACAGAATTTTCCAGCCATGCCTCGGTCAAACCACTTCATCACATATTTTTAATGCTAATAAATAATATCTATATATTTACGCTATATATTTAAAAAAGATACCAAAAATACCAACGCACTTTAAAAAAAATCAAAAGAATCATGTTCATACTTGCAAGAGATATCTAAAATGCCCAACACTTAAGAATCAATCCAATTGCTACCAACTCTTGTAAAAAAATCATCCCTAGATATCTGAAATACCCAACACTTGAGAATCAACCTAAATGATACCAACTCTTGTAAAAAATCATTCCTAAAATGCCCTTGCGTTTTCTTGTCATGCAAACATTACAATGCCCTCATGCTGAATGCCCTCACACAATTGTACGTGTTGATGTCAGCTATCAAATAGGAAGTTTATTTATGGATTAAAGTAGAGTTAGGATCTTTAAACTCATTTAGATAACTAACTTTGTGGGTCACTGTTCTTCCATGAACATGAAGAATTCGTAAAAGGCAGAAGTTGAGTTCTCCCGTTATTTCTCTGACGATCAAGTCAGTATATGAACTTGAGTGGGAAAATGTGAGATGAAGAAAATCTCAAAGTTTTGTCAAAAGACCAAAGAGCCACCTTGAGATGCATGACTTCCATTATATAGAGGATCAGAAGAGCAAATAGGTACATGAGCTGAGTCCAAGCAGATGACTGACTTGGCAAAGAGCTAATAGGTGTCGGCCGCTCGCGAAGATGGGTCATCCAGGTGGCTGGTGCAAAGCGACAAGTGATTTGTGCAAAGCGACAACAACTGTTTGGTGCTGACAAAGCCTGATGAGTCATAAAAACTTTTGGGACTGGAGTAATGATGATTATTGACCATGTATTTAATATGATGGTGACTGGCTATTGGCAAGGGGCTCGAGAAAGACCACCTTTCAACTCGGCCTAATAAGAATGGACGACTCAGCCTGGTGAGAAAGGACGATTCAGACTGCCTGTCAAGAAAGGACGACTCCTAGCGAGAAGGGCGAGAAGTACCGCCTCTTTTATTGTCTGGTGGAGGGCCGACTAACACCCCATTTTTACACGGCTACGCAAGTTGCCAGCTAAAACAGTAGGCTCGGTGTGAATGCTTATAGGATCGATCTGGTGAGTATGCTGACAAGTACCAACTTTCGAGTCCGATGTGCAAGTTGTCGACTTATGTAGTCGGCCGCAATAGCGGTTCAAGTTGTCTGGGCTCTGATCATGTCTAATCTGACATGGAGCAGAACAGGTGTCGACAACTCAAAAAAGATTAACATTTAGTTATTTACAGGCTACATAACAGTACACCATAAAGTATTGGTTTTACTTTTTAAGAAGGTTTTCCTTTCGATCTTTGAGAGCAACAATTTTAGAATTATGATTATGCACTCCGACCTGAAAAAAAAAAAAACAGAAATACCCTCACACTTGAATTTTTTTTTTAAATAGAACGCCCTCACGCTTGGAAAAAAAATTACTGAAATTCCCCAAACTTCAAAAATCCACCCAAAAAAATTCAATGGAAATACACTTAAATTGTCTTTTCCTTGACGATTCAATTGCAACACTCCCCCACATTTTGTCTTGCACACACAGCGTGCACTAAAATACTAGCTAAAATAACACAAAGTTTTAAGAGTTATGAATTCAAGAGAAGGGGGATAAAATAGTCTAATATCAATTCTACAACTGCAACCCAATAAACAAGAAAAAACTTGTGCGTGCAACAGCAAATGAAATTATCATACCAGCCTACTTGCAACTGCAAGTCCAGCTAAAAGAAAACAAACGGTAAAAATAGATACATAAATTGCAATAACCTACGTAGGAATTTGATCTATATATGGTTTAATAGTACAAGAAATCAATCCACCATAAGCAAAAGCGTGGAAACGACAATAACAAGTCCAAGGTTTTAAAACACATAAACCAGTATCATACCTAAAATACCAGAGTAATCTGTTCCCATGACTTTGGAAGTAGTCTAATACAAACTACGGTATGAGCTTCAATAACGATGATAATGATAATAGCAAATGAAACAATTTTGGTCATTCAGACTATTGGAAGGAAGATTAAGTACACATCATCCTTTCATTTAACATCTCAACCATAAAAAATGTATATAGGTAAGACGTAGACAATTTGGTAATAGCAAAAGACAAATATTTATTATGAGATAAGTACATACTCATTTACAAACGCCACAAAGAGAGAGAAACAACAGAGAAGTGCATTTACACAAAGCTTCCCAGTTTTCACTTCACAACTTACCAACACCAAGGTCCTCCAGCCATTCAACTTGCTATTCAAGTATTCGAAGAACAAGTATCCTGCCAAATACATTTTTAACATTATGAGGTAACAACGGCTTCTGTTGGGGAATCATGTGTTTTTTATTATGATAAAATAGAAAATCTGAGGCGCCACAATGTCTACAATAAGTATTAAATTACTGCAACAAATAGGACAAATTTTCAAAACCAACCTATTTGGACTTTTATTCCCAAAAAAAGACCCGTTTCACATTTATTTAGAGAAACCAACCTGGTTTCAGCCTCAGCGCTGAAACCAGGTCGGTTTTTGAAAAAAACTCTCCGAAACTTCACGGGAGTTGAACTCCCGTGAAGTTTTTTGAACTACGAAACTTCACGGGAGTTCAACTCCCGTGAAGTTTCAGAGAGTTTTTTTCAAAAACCGACCTGGTTTCAGCACTGAGGCTGAAACCAGGTCGGTTTTTGCAATTATTTTTGAATGGGGTCGTTTTTTGGGAATAAAAGTCCAAATAGGTTGGTTTAGAAAATTTGTCCGCAACAAATATTCGGAAAATGGAAGGGCGGGCCAGATTCCTTAACCACTTGGACTCCGTATCTTTTGCATACTATCATCAGCATGTATGTTTTGCTGATTTAACAAGTTTCATGTTTGTTAAATAAACATTCACATTATCCATTAAGAGAAAAAAGGGAAAAGCAGATGAAATATTTGCCTTTCACTTAAACACCAGGAAGAAGAGGGAAAAGTGGACTCAAAACAATGAAGTAAATAATAAATAAATAGTTCAAAAAAAAAAAGGGTGCATCATTCAGTAGCATAATTACCTAAGAAGAACAGCATGCTGAACTTCGTGTTTGCTCAGCAGGTCTGTCGAGGACCATCCCTGTTGGTTGCTGAGCTGGCTGAGCACGAGGTAACCTTCTCGCTGCAAGCACAAAATGAGGAAGGGGGGTTTCAGAATCACAAAATTTCAAAGAAAATGAAGGAAATAAAGGTCCTCGCATAAGCTTTGATTCAGAAATATGATAGAAGGCTTCAAACTTCTGAGATCGCATTGGTAAAAATCTGTACCGATGTTAAGTACTCCCTAATGCACTTAGCATAGATAACTTGGGTGAAGTTCAAACAATTGTACACAAATTCATTCAAGATGAATAAATCACAAGTCCAAATATCTTATTCTTCTCCTAGCCCCACCGTGAGCATTCATTGTACCAACACTGCTTTAAAACCATGATAAAATTCTAAACCACCATCCAGAAAGGCCTTCCTTGAAGTTTATTACACTGGTACTTTTTTTTTGCAACATTTTCCTTTGCACCATAGTGCTTCTTCACATGATATAACAATTATTCATTAGAAGTGTATTAAGATATGAGAAGATAACTTTTCTCTCTTGGCTACGGACAGCAAGCAGCAAGTTACAGGAACCGATTATATGTTCCGTTAAAAAGGGTGCAAAAGCAGCTGCCAGAGGAAACATCATTTCATTTTTTGGAAGGACAAACTCGACCTTCCTGATGACGGAGGACCAGTTGATACTTATAATGGAACTTAAGATCACCCACTTTTAACATTTTTCTTGGTTTAACAGTTCCTACCTTTTTGCACAAAAATGGTAAAACACATGGAGTTACCTACCAAAACAATCCAATATATGCTGCATAATTTGAAGCAACCAACCCAACAGCATGATTATTGCTTGGGCCAATAAGCCAACAAAAAAAAGTCCACTCAAGAGATCTTTTTCTGTTTTTATGCCGTGAATTGCATGACCAAAAACTCCAAGTCTACTTACAGCATCGCATTTTCAAGTTTTACCGAAGAGAGTTTTGTGTTAAATTTGATTGGATTGTAAAGTTTTGACTTTTGAGTCGTGCTTTATAGCCCAGCCTCTTTATAATTAAAATACTGAAGGGAGTAATAATATGTTACAGACAGCATCTACAACAGTGAAGTTCCAGACCGGTCGAAGGTGAAAATTAAAGTAGCTATATCTGCATCAAAATACTACTTTCCCAGCATGTAAACAAGGTGAATTTCAAATATTACCTATTTCATAAAATATGTCATTCACGTTTATGGCTGTCTTGGCAGAAGTTTCCATGAAAAAGAGACCATTTTCATCAGCATACTTGCGTGCTTCCTGCAGCACAGATATCAGCAAAAAATAATAACCACAAAATAACACATGCAAGATTTGTTTCATTTTCATCCTACCACTGTACAACCAATTGACAACAACCAGATGTCCCAATCATTGCCAAACATAGTAAATTGTGCAGCATAAAATAAACTAGATGCATGCATGAGAAGTATGCAAAACAAATTAAAAGGTCAACGTTCTAGTAGCATCAATTACCCAACAGGAGTTAAGAGGCACAATTTAATGCAATATAACAACATGATACAGAACAGTCAATGCATTTTCTAAATGAAAGTAAGCATCACCACGTGCATATTATAGGAACTCAACAACTAAGCATTGTCTATCACAGGTGTTGTGAAATCATGGATTGATAGATGCATCAAGCCTTCAACTATAATAATACTTCAGTAGAGCATTATGTAAACGAAAGCAGTTCAGCAAAACATAGACAACAATTTTCTGACTAACATACACATCATGTTATATTACATCAATGAAAAAAAAACTTGCAGCAACACTCTCAAATTGGAAAGCACGTCATTCAGGAAGTTGAAAGCGATGTTTCAAAAGTCAAAGTTTGAACATACAACACAGAGCAAGCAATGATGCATGATGATTTTTCCTTTACAAGTTTTATCTTCCTTTGTTTAGTTGACAAAACTTTTCAATGAAACCAGGGAAGAGTTTACGACCCACCACATTCCCTATAGAAAATAATGATGGATCCTCAGTTGATAATAATATAACCTATGTTGCATGTGTATTTCTATTATGAAGCCATACCCTACCCGGCACTGTTAGGTCTCATGTTTATGAGCCTATTGTCTAATCTAGTTTTGATGATTAACAAACAATTCCTAACATCGTGTGTCGTGTGTTTGTATTTATTTTGTTAGGTAATCTACACAAGTATTCTCAGGCGGAGGTTGGTTCGACTTGCGCCTACACGATCACATCCTTTTGGAGGTTGGAGGAAATAGGAATGAAGCTATGCGTTTAAGTCAACACATAATCAAGCTTTATTCCCGCTTCCAAGATCGATCTTCAACGAGAGATCATTGTCTTGGGTATATTGTTTGTAGTTTAGAAGTTTACTTTAAGTGTTTATATTTTAAAGCTCAAACTACACACATACACGTTTCGTTTTATCGTATTATACGTTTTTGGGAAAATAACATATTTACGGATTAAAGACTTGATTACACTATTTTATATCTTTCCTCAAGTCTATTAATCTATTTTAAAGTGTTTCAAAACTTGTTTGAAGAAATTTCATCAAAATCAAGTTTTAACATTTTCGCATTTTTTAATAGCTTGCAAAATAAATAAGTTTTCACAAATGGGAAATACAATTTGAGAAATTCTTTTTCTAACATGTTCTATTTCATATTTATAAATATTTCTCAAAGTTTTATCATTTTTGGAGTTGATTTACTATGTTAAATTAATTTTATAAAATCAAGTTTTTCAGCAGTTTTTAGAATCTAGAATATCTGTTTAAAAACAGATAGTTCTCACAAATAAGAAGTGATATTTTAGAAATTCTTTCTCTAGCATGTTTATCTTTACTAGTATAGTGCACGTGCGTTGCACGTGGACATATTTGTTTTATGTTCTAATACTTTACATAATTCATTATTTAATTAATGGAAGAGTTTCATTTTGAATGTAATTATAACAACATTCTAATACTTTACATAATTCATTATTTAATTAATGGAAGAGTTTCATTTTGAATGTAATTATAACAACATTTGAGGACTTATTTGTCATTATTTAATTAATGGAAGAGTTTCATTTTGAATGTAATTATAACAACATTTGAGGACTTATTTGTATTTTTTTTTACAATTTGGATCATATACTTCTTTCAATCTTCTTAAGATTTAAGTTTTGAACTATATAGGGGTTTGTCTGTAAAAAATTATGAAGTTTTAGAATTTTTCTATAAATATATGAAATTTCAATGGTCTTTGTGAAAATTATGAAGATCCATGGTTGTTTGTGAAAAAATTTAGGGTTATTTTGTGAACATTGACAAATCATGGAATACCCAAATGATATACTTTTTTTTAATCTTAAAAGACATAGTTTTATTTACTTTATAATTTAAGATAATGAATGACATTTAATAACTACTGGTAGTTTTATGTTCAAATTTAGAATATAGTTTTAACATTAGGGAGGTTATAATATACTTATTATATAAAAAAATTTACCCAAAAGACAAAAATTCCAAGTTTGTTCTTTACTTTTATGTTAAGTGTGACATGTTATTCCAGTTTATATTAATTATCTTTATTTTTGCTAATCCATTATAATAAAATAAATTTCTGACTTTCACCTTCTCTCTCTTCTATTATCATATAATTAGTAACATGCTATAAAAAATATATCTACTAAGTTCGTGGATAATACAATATTTCTCTCAAATCACAATTAAGTACATAGTAATAATTATAGAAATAGAAAAAAGTTCATTACCCCCCCCTAAAAAAAATAGACCTTAAACTTTAGACTCAATTCGAATTCTCCACATTTTTTTGTATCAATCGTATCCTTAATCCACATATAGCCGTCAGTCTAAAAATCACATCAGTATAAAGTATGATCTGAGTAAAGCTCAATACTTCCTCAGCATAACTTCAATCGTCTTCACCCCCTTTGTCGTTATCTCTTCTGAGGACAAGGTTATCGATAGCGGATAACGTTGCATAGCGGTGAGGTATCGCTAAGGCTATTTCGGGCTATTACGGCAAAATAACGGTAAAAAACACAAAGACAAATAGCGGTCTAATTTAGATATGTATAAATCCTAAAAACAAATTAAAAAAAATATATAAGAAATCTAAAAATACATATTGGATGATTTAAAGAGATCCTAAACATGAAATAGATATGTAACCATCACGTAATACCGAAGAGATGATTTAAAGAGATCCTAAACATGAAATAGATATGTAACCATCACGTAATACCGAAGATGACTGGAGGAGTCAAAAAGTCGTCGTCTTCGAGAAGAAGAGCTTAGCGGTGACAGGACTGTCCTAAGAGGAGCTCACGATGAATGAGGTGAGAGAAAGTATCAAGGTAGGTGCCAGAGGCTATGAGAGGTGACGGGAGTATGCTAAAAATCACAGGAGACGGTAGAATAAAATGGTCAAGGGTTGAGTTTAATTTTAAAAAAATAAGCCTCAAACCGTTTTTAAATAGCAGTCAAAAAACAAATTTTAAATGCAATCGCTTACTATTTACCGTTATGACATACTATTGGCTGTTTTTGCGAACAAATATATTCCGTAATATGTCACCGCTACTGCGCGATAGCGTAACGGGCGATAGCGTCGCAGAAAGGGACCGCTAACGCTATTAACGTCGCTATTGCGGGGCTATTTACCGCTATTTATAACAGTGCTTCTGAAGGGATAATATTTTCACTGGCGAGCTTGTATCATCCAAATAATATCTTAGTAAAACCATGGGGTGACTATAGGATGCTGTTAGGGTTGTAAATGGTGAGTGTAAATCTAAATCATCAAATGAGTAAATTTATATAGGTTGCAAGTAAGGGCTATTATGATAAATAAATAGAAGCATGCTCTTTGGATTCCGTAACAGTCAAATGTAATTGCCACTTAAATAAAAACTACAATTGAAAATGTAACTCTCATTTCAAGTATGCATGAATGCATGCACTAATGGTATTTTAAGTTGACACTTTGTTTGCAAATTGAAACGTATATTATTAGTTTGTCATATGTGCGTTTTAAGTGGAGGGGTTAAAAAAATAAAAGTTAATATTAGTGAACAATTAATAGGAGAGTTATGCCATTATTAAGAATGTATGCATGTAAGCATTTTAAGTTGACACTTTGTTTGCAAATTAAAACGTATATTATTAGTTTGTCATATGTGTGTGCATTCAATTCTCAGCTATTATGTCAAATACAACTTACAATCTTAAAAAATTTATGATAACATTAATATTGGATTAGTGGAGGGGTTACAAAAAATAGAAGTTAATATTAGTGGACAATTAATAAGAGAGTTATGTCATTATTAAGAATATATGCATGTATATGTATGTGTTTATATGTATGCAAATTTTTTATGATAACATTAATATTGGATTAGTGTAGGGGTTACAAAAAATAAAAGTTAATATTAATGGATAATTAATAAGAGAGTTATGTCATTATTAAGAATGTATGCATGTATATGTATGTGTTTTATGGATGCATGTATGTGATTTGGAGGGCATTTTTGAAAGAAATATTTTAACATACCAACACATTTTTATAATAGTATTAGATGTGTAGAAACATTTCTCAAAATTTCAGGATTTTTGGAGTTGATATTCTATTTTTAATTGAATTTAGAAAACCAGATACGTAAAATTTTAGAATCTGTCGTGCATGTTTTCAGTCGACTGAACAGTGTTTTCAATCGACCGATCAGTCGACCGATACATACATCAATCGACTAAGCAGATGAATTTTTAGCCTTTTGAAAGTTTTAGCCTATCAGTCGACCGACGCAAAGTTTCGATCGACCGATCAACGGTCAGAAGCATAGTAACGGCTAGTTTGTGGGCTGCTTTGATTGAGAGATTATATATATTGCCCCCAAGCTTTATTTTTCTTTCATGGGTGTTTAAACTAAGATTTTGGGAGTTTGTTTTTAGAGTTTAAAGTGTGTTTTTGGTTTATGCAAAAGAGTTTGCAAGGAGGAGAATCGAAATTTCATCTTTGAGGAGTTTATCCTCAAATCTTCTTTTCTCACTAGTTTAGAGAAGTTTTTCTAAACTCATTTATCTAGCTTGCTTTCATTTTGATTCTTATATATATGTGCTAGATTAAATTGAATTTGATTTCGTTTTTACTCATTGTTTCACACACAACCACTTGAGCTTGAGTATTTTCAGATATAGTATAAATTAGGTTGTGGGTGTGATTATTGAGTGAGTTTTCATTTTCGTTCTCATTTGTATTAGAGAACAAAATCATTTATTTGAACTTATAATTGTGAAACACATTGTAATACACAAGGACACTTAGAGGAGTGGACGGGGTCAATTCCAAGAGGAGTGACGTTGGTAGTAAATCCTAGGACGAGGTTGTAATTCCGAGCACTTGATGACGGTGAGCTAGGCCAACACTTAGAGAAGTGTGTTGTGTGATTGTAATTGTGAGAGTTGTAAAAGTTTTCGGTGAACTTGGAAAACCGATTGTGTAGTTGATTTATTTGAGATAGTGGAAATTCTCCTCGAGGGTGAGGAGCGGAGACGTAGGTCGTAGGTCGACCGAACTCCGTGATCAATTTCTTTGTGTTTGCATTTGTTGCTCTTATTGTTCATATCTTATACTCCTTGTTTATATCGCTCATTGTTTAATTGTATATCCTTACATATCTCATTGTATATCATTTTGTTAGAATATATTAGTTAATAAGTTTTAATTTGGCATCAATATCAGATTAGATTAGCAAATACTCTATTCCCCCCCCCCCCCTCTAGGGTACTTTCAGGCACGTCCCGTACACATACCCGTACACAACAATTCTTGGAAACTCCTCGAATGTATGCATATTCAAACAAGTACTCAATTATACAATACATGTTTTAACTTAACACACTTGTCATGCACTTCTCGGCCGAGGTCAGATTAGTTTCAAGCCATATTCAGTTCAGAACTATTGAGTTCAAAGGGTTGTTCGCATATCTTGTTCATAAATATGATTTTGGCTCCTGTGTTTCAATCGTCTCCCCATACCCTATATTTTACTAATTTGTCATGTCCCATACACATTACTGTATCTGTACCCCCACCCGTATCCATGCGACTTAGAATATAACCTTTTGTGCACATCATTGTCTGGCCTGCTGAAACAGAATAGATTCGCAAAGTGGAAAGCATCATAAGCATGAAGATGTGTTATCTAACATGCAGCACGCATCAAAAGATAAAGAGGATGATACCCATCAAAGAGTAAGTTGACACTATCAGTTAGTAGTGAAGTAACAGTACACCATATGGTGCTCTATACTCATTAATACCTTATCCCATTTGTCATAATAGATAGTTGATAGGCATGCTATTAGGCAGAAGGCCTCATTCTTGCCACTTAAATAGATATATCATACTTCGATTGAATAGTATAATGTAATGAGACGTGACACATCAATCTTCATCATTTTATACCCTTCAAAAGTAAGAAAATACTAGTCCCACTGACGAAGTCAAATCCTTAATGCCGATTAGACTTGATAGTATTTGAATATACTTAATCAGAAATGATAATCATATAGATGTCTACACATAGAAAAAAAATTACATAGAAATAAGTAGAAAATATTCAATACGTATCACTCCTAAATTTATTATCCGTCAAAGTGTTTTTTATTGCTGGTGCGAGTTGCACTGAGTAGCAATACCTCAATGATTGTGGACCTTGTGCAACTTATCACAGCAGTATGGAATTTTTATTGAACTTAGGTTGTACAGTTGTCCTCGTGATATTAGGGTATATTCAGAGATGCAACAAAATACATGAGCAGTGAGCACAGTATAAAACTGGATAATTATCCAAGACATTACCCACAAGGAGAAACTAACAAGTTTGAACTAGAAACAAACAAATAAACTAAGTCGCAGGAAATAAAATATGGAACAGATAGATAATACTTGCCTCAGTTTCCACCTTCCTTTTCTCTTCCAAATCAGCTTTATTTCCAGCAAGAGCAGTAACCATGTTTGGATTACCTAAAACCAATACATTATTCCGATGTTCCTCATCAAAACAAAGAAAGAAAGAGAAAATACAATCTAAAACATCTCCTATTCAAAGTTTAAAAACAAAGGATATTCTGAAATACATCCATCTGCACTTCACTACGAAGGTGATATCTGGTGATCTTTTGCTTTCTATTCTCAACAGTGACCAAAATAATTCACTCAGTCATTGACCAAAATGGTTACTACTTATAGCCTCATGTTAATTGTTGCTGTTAGTTACTCAACTTACTTAATGGTGTCATCATTAAAACCATCCTAAAGCTTCTACCCCATGCAATAATTGCTCGCGTGCATTTCAAACGTATTCTCCAACACAATCGCTAGTTACAATATCTTCAACTTAATGAAGTTCTAACAGAATTTTCAAACTATGTTAGGACTAAAACACCGCACAAACCTTGCTTCTGTAGCTCTTGCACCCACTTCTTAGCTCTCTCAAACGACTCCTGCAATCCAAATACACCATGAGAAACAATCCCAAATTTTAATTACAACCTCAAGGCCAAAAATTCACACTAATCTCACCGCGCTAGTAATATCATACACAATAACAGCAGCAGCAGCTCCTCTATAATACATAGGCGCCAAGCTATGGTACCTCTCTTGACCCGCAGTGTCCCAAATCTCGAACTTCACCGTCGCATCGTTCACCGCCAACGTCTGCGAGAAGAACGCGGCTCCAATTGTCGATTCCTGCGGCCAAGAAAACCCTAATTCAGATCAAAACCCTACTCCAAACCTACCCAGGCACGCCATAAAGATTCCAGCTTTTTCACCTGGAATTCAAGGAACTGGCCCTTAACGAATCGCAACACGAGGCTGGACTTCCCCGCTCCCATATCCCCCAACAAAACCTAGAATTTTCAAAGATTTGATGTAGAATTTCAGCTGTTAAATTTTTTTTTTTTGGGGGGGGAAAGGTGAGAGGTCGACTTACGAGCTTGGCATTGAGATTGCTGTTGCCGATCGTGGCCATCGGAGAGATCGACGGATCGATTCGAGTGAGGAGTTTGGGTTCTGAATTGTGATATGTTTTCCCCCCCTCTGTGAATTAACTTTCGAAGAATTGGGAAGACGGAGAATTGAAGGGAGAGGGATGAAAACGAAAGAGGGATTGCTTCGTTGTTAATTAGAAGTCCAAAGCCCTGTTGGGGTTGACGTGTTTGTATTTGTCCGCTTGAAATGACGGTTTTGTCCTTGACTTGCATAATACGGGTGAATAGTTTGTAGTGGAAACTGCGTCCCTTCACCGTAGTTCATCTGTTTGTAGTTTAGGTTACATCTCTATACCAGATAAAAAATAACTAGATAAAATTAAAAAATATTGTTCATGCGATACAAGTGAGTTCAATAATATGTTCGTTATATAAGACACATTGATCATCAAAATTAACCTAAAATCTATACGCTTAGGATTAAAACTATTATAACATTATGACAAATATGTATTCATGAATTTTGGATGTGGGTCTGGATATTTCACTATAAAACCATATTCGTAACCATATCCTATCGTTATAGATTTGATTATTTATATTCGCAACCTAACAGATACGGTTATGGATATTTCCTCAGATGCGGATATGATTTAGAATCCCTAATGAGTAGTGATAAGTAGACTTCAAGTTTAAAAAGAATGGGATCTTAGGAGGTCTTCGTCAATTGGGACATTTCCACGCCAAGTGAAATAATTGTTAAAGTAAAATATTTTTTAGCTAGTGGGATATTTTAGTGTGATAAATAGGAATAATTTTGTGAAGTGGAGTATTTTGATAAAATAATGTGGGATAAATTTTTATAATCATGAAGTATATATTTATGCATTTTGAGGATATAAATAATATTTTTGTATTTTAAACTTGCAATTATTGATTGATAATTGTTTACAAGAATGTTATTTACTATTAAATAACTTTTGTTAGACTATAAGATATTGACAGTTATTATTCTCATATATGTTGTAGCTTTTTCTATTTCTTATTTATTATTTAGTACAAGTCTAAAAAAATTCACATTTTCCTTTCTTTTTTTCTCT